GACTCCATTTTAAAAACTTCAGTTTGAAACCTGCAGTCTCACCTGGCATGCCTAAGGGAGCCCTCAGACACAAACAAGTCACTTCTCCCCATCCTGAAAAACAGAGTGAAGTCTCTGTCAGGCTGTTCTCCCCTGAAAAGAGGGAAAGGCGAGAAAATCAGGGAGGGACCACCAGACCAGATGTTTTAACCCCAGGGTGAATGTTGTCACTAAGAAATCTGGTGGTAACTGATAAGGATTGAAAGGGGGGTCAAAAGCCCCAAAATTTAGTATAAATAATAGAGCAAAGGAACAGACATTCAGCCAGCCAAAACAAGGATGCACCCAAGCTGGAGAGTCTGATGAGGATCTGGACTGACATCTCATCACTTGTCATCTTGTGCCTGATCCTTACCGCTCTCCAACTCTACAGCCACATCTTGACCCTGGTGAGAGCCGCAACTTCTCCCTGTTTCACCCTCTTCTCAGCCGGCCGTCAGCTCCATTCCAGGAGAAGCCTGCCTTGGTTCCTGACCTGATCACCACTGTCTGAGTGAGTGTGTATCTGCTGGACATAAAGCCTAAGGCTTCAGACTTTTGAACTTAGCATGCAGAGGGAATGTCTGTCATTAGCCTGTCATGATTAAGTGTGTTTTCAGTGCTTAGAATTAATCTAGAATCGTTTGCTGTGAATTGATTATGTCTATTGCAGTGCCTAGCGTGAACGATGGTCGTCTTCTTGATTAAGAACCTATAGAGTGAAATTTTATTGAGTGATTCTAGTGAATAAAGCATTGAAAAGGGCAGAAGTGCAGGGACATTCTTTATTTCTCCCCCTCGACTGCATATGTTGCAACTTTGCCCCTCGCGACAAGGAGGAAATGGCTTTTGAAATTCTAGATCTCCAAGACACAAAAACTCATGGGTTTTCCAAACTTACTGAAGAGGATGTAACCTTGTACTTTTTGAAACTGTCCCCTGTTGTAGAGTCCTCACTTAAATTCCATGGGTCCCATTTAGTAAGTGGTGTTACTTGCATGATTAAGAAAGAACTTGGGTTGGGGCTATGGCTTAGTGGTAGAGCATTGGTCCAGCTTGCACAAGGCCTTAAGTTCAATCCCCAGCACTGCAAAAAGTAGAAAGAGTTCAGTCTATCAACGTTGATGCTACAATGGATTGTGCATGCGGTGTGTGTGCACATGCACACATGTGTTTCAAACATGAACTTCACTCACATAAGTGTAAGTTAACAGGTGTATAAGTTAACCTCATTGTCCCTCCAGAAAGTGTCAGAAAGAGTTGAAATAATAGTAAATCTAAATAGCCTTTGAAGTTCAACAGTCTTATACTTGATATTAAAATAGTAAAATGCATGTTAATAAAGAACTTAATTCAACGGGTAGGCATTAAAAAATCATAGTTGTGAATAATATTTATGAATGTGGGAAAATATTCACAGTGTAACAGTCAAATAAAATTGTGCCTATGCAGGACTTATATAAAGGAAACAAAAGCAATACAATAAAAAAATTTCTGATAAACATAAAAATTAAAATAAAAAAATATTACCACTTAAATTGATAAATTGAATAATAATACAATGAATAATAATACAAAATTTTAGTTTTATCTAGTGAATCATAAGTTCCATAGAATTTATTTTTTTTGTTGTTTTTTTTTTAATTTTTATTTTTTATTAGTTACTCGAGACAATACAATGATCTTGACATATCATACATTTGATTCAAATGGGGTATTCTCATTTTTCCACGTGTACAGATTGCAGGATCACATTGGTTATACAGCCACGTATATACATACAATAATACTAGTGTCTGTTGTATTCTGCTGCCCTCCCTATCCCCCCTCCCTTCCCCTCCCCCATATCACCTCTCTCTACCCAATCTACTTTGACACATTTCTCTCTCTCACTCTTTTTTCTTTCTTTCCACCTCACACCAACATATATGTATTTTGTATAACGATGAGGGTCTCCTTCCATCTTCTGTGCAGGGTAATTGCACAGGAGTTCTATAGAATTTCAATGCCACTTTTTAATTTAAATGAATGATTAAAACTGTTACCTTGTGGGGTGCAGTGGCACACGCCTGTAATCCCAGCGGGTCGGGAGCTGAGTCAGGAGGATTTTGAGTTCAAAGCCAGCCTCAGCAAAAGTGAGGCTCTAAGCAACTCAGTGAGACCCTGTCTCTAATTAAAATACAAAATAGGGCTGGGGATGTGGCTCAGTGGTTTGAGTGTCCGTGAGTTCAGTCCCCATTACCCTAAAAAAAATAAATAAAAGTGGAACAATCAATATATCAAATTTGTGACAAAGCCTCTCTGAATATGTATATTGCTTCTTAAATATCAGTTATATCATGGAATTTAAAGTATGTTTACAAGCATTTTATGTTGGCATTCCCCCATCAACACAAGGTAGTGAACTCAGGACCTTGTGCATGCTGGGCAAGCACTCTGCCACTGAGCCACATCCCCAGCCCTTCTTACTTTTATTTTGAGAAGGGTCTTGCTAAGTTACCCAGGCTGGTCTTGACCTTGCCCTCCTCCTGCCTCGGCCTCCCCCACTGCATCCAGCCCAGTTCATAGCTTTGGAAAGTTGATCCCATTGAAAGAGTCTTTCATATGTAGGTTGTTTCCTATTAGATCATCCACAACAGTGGACTCAGCCTCCCTTTTCCTTCAACACCATTTCCTAAGAAAGGGGCCACCATGAGCCAAAGTCAGCTGCCTTTGAAGCAATTTAGTTGATACTTTCATAGTTCCTGGCCTTGAAAAGAGGCTGAAAGAATTGGAGATTTTCCTGAAGTTCATAATCAGCAGACATTTCCAAAGTTTGTATCCTCGTTTCAGCCTCATCCTTAAGGTAGCGAGCCAGTTCAGCCAAGTAACTTCTTATGTTGTATTTCACCATTTCTAAGACACTTTAGTGTCTCTGACCCTGGAATGTGTCTTACAGTCAGCGTTAAACTATTTCAAAGTTCAACCCACAGTGTTTTCTTTCCTGTGGTACATTGATTACGATGGGGTATATTGAGGTATATAGTTGCAAATTCTTTTCAAGGTTATCTCAGTTAACTCTCCTAATAACCCTGTGAAATAGGAGGAGAAAGTCTTATTTCCATGCCGTTCTTGAGGAAATGCTCCGGATGGAGGTTTCATTTGGGGAGTTTGCTTCTGTGCCTACAGACTGGAGGTGCTGGGCCCCTCACCAAGCCTGTGTGGCTGAGCCAGCAGGTCCTCGTCCTCTACCTCAGAGTTTTCTTCAGCTGTCCTATTGGTGAGGCATTTTGTCTTTTAGGTAAGAAATGTTTTCAGTATGACAGCCAAAGAGGGAAGGAAGAGATGGGTCCTTGTCCTGGTGGCTGTGGGGGATGGGCAGGGAGCTGCAGGTGAGTGGGGTGACTCTGGACACAGAGGTGGTGGTGTGCAGAGGCCTGGCTGCCCCCCTGGGAGCCTGGGGCCCTGCTGCTGGCCTCACTTTCCCCCTCACTGAGCGTCTAGAGGTCTGGGCTCACAAACCTTGTGGTAAACCACAAAGCTTCTCAGCGTAAAGAAAGAAGAGCTCCAAGGCCTACATCTGAGGACAGTGGGTATTTTAAAAGGGTTAAGTCACCATTGTATTGTGTATAATAGTGAAAAATTAGAAGAGCAAGTCCAATCTGGCCCAGTTACAAAAACAGGATAGCTGTCCAATGTAATATTCTATAGCTTGTGAAAAAATCACTTACATAATAAGTAATTACTTAAGTAATTACTGTTAAAAATGTGTCAGTAATCTTGATTTTTTAAAGTCATTTATATGTTAAGGAAAATCTAGTAGACTATACACTGTTAAGTGTTTATGTGGGTTAGTAGGTTTGCCAATCATTTAAATTTTCTTCTTTAGACTTTTCTTTAAAGTATCCCTAGTGAACATCTTGTTTGTGATATATATTCACATGGAACTGAAAAACCATAAGTTGCTTCATACTGACACTTTCAAAGCAAAAGTAATACACATGATAGTGCGTTGGTGTAAGAAATCATGGTTAGCAGTTACTGTTGTCTCTTTCCCAAAATATCTTTTCAGAAATTTTGTGTCCAGCTATCACCCTTAACCTTGTAAAAAGCTTCACCAAGACGTCATGTTACAGCCGTGAGTTCGCACCTTGCCCTTCTTGCTTGGTTTTGCCCTCAGTGATCTTGGGTTAGCATAAGCAGATTCCCCTCTGTTCTGGTACTGGTTGCCTAGTGTCCCTGTGTATGCACAGACCTGATTTTTGTTACCTGCTCCCTATTGCTGAATATTTTTTGTTTGCAAATTTGTGTCATTTATTTTAAAAAAATGAACTTTTTGTACATAGATTGTTGAACTTTTGCAAATATAGCAATAGGGGAAATGTCTTGAAATTGCTTGAAATATCTTGAAATTGCTGCCATACTAGGTTTAAATGTCAAGTATTGCCAAATCACCTCCTCAAAGGTTGCATCAGTTTATGTCCCTCTGTACCACCTGTCCTTGCCCTGAGTATTATCAGACTTTACTGATTGTCATCTTGGTCCCTGAAACATCTCTCCTAGTTTCACCTGCACTTTCTAAGCTAGGAGAGTGCAGACACCATTTTTGTGTTCATTGGCCGTTGCGCTTTCACTTTGGACATCTGTCAGTTGAGGTGCTTTGCCCATTTTTTTAATTGGGTGGTTTCTTTTCCTTGTTGATTGGGATAAGCTTCTTGTAAGTTAAGGACATGAGCCTTCTGTCTATCAGATATATTGACTTCGTTCTTAATTTTTTTTTTCACACGAAAGTTTTAAAATCCACAGAAGTTTTAAACCTTAATATAGCAAATTTATCAGTCCTAGATCACTTCTGGTTTATGTTTTGCTTAGAAAGCCTCCTTTTGAAGATTATATATTTCCCTCTAGGACTTCCATGGTTTACTTTGTTCTGTTTAAACTAGGAACTGGAATTCAAGCCCCTTTCATCCCAGGCCTCAGATGTCTTGCGTATTTTATTTTCCTGTGTATAACTTAAAAACACAGTACTTTTCCCAAATTAAATAATAACTGATGGCAGCAAATAATGGAAGCATTTCTGCAACTTGTGATGAACCTCATTTCTTGGGATTAAGCATTTACAAATTGCAAACTGTTGCTTTTATTTTCCTGGTTAATTAAAATCTAAATACCACTCAAAGTTCCATTAATATCATGGTTTTACTCTATAGCAATGTATTTTTTCCCTATCCCTCTGGGCATTTGAATCTCTTTCCACAAGTGTCCAAAACCATTTGCCTCTTGTAAATATAGAGCATACTTAATTTTAAAAATTGAGTATATTTCATTATATTAGAGATTTATAAAAGATAATGTTATGCATCTAAACTTGGGTTTCATAAATACATCCAAATGTAATGTCTCCAGATTGCCTCAGAACAGATAAGCAGGTCTCTGGCTTTCTTCATGGCTGGTTGTGTATGCAGGTGTTCTGTGGGCAGTTGAAAGGAGAAGTGCGTGAAATGTTGTAGGAGCCCAAACTGTGAGCTGGGGAGAGGCACAGGCTGGGCCAGTTTTTTCCCTTTTCATAGTTTGGATTTTTCTTTGTTGGTTTTGCTGTTGGGAAGGCCACCAAGTGGGTGAATTTTTTTCCTTATTGTCACGCAGTAGATGATGATGAGCTCTGTGTTAGCCACCAGGGCACCACAGGCAGACAGTCACGTGTCCCAGAACCCTCTACTGGTCCTTGTGCTCAGAGCCTGTGTATCTTGTGAGATGCCATTCAGACCACCACTGTTGGTCAGACTCATGGCCACTCACTAGAATCATGAGATGGCTGTGAGCAACACTAAGGAACAGTCAGTGTGCATGTGATGATGGTACTGTGGCTACCTGTTGTAAGTCTTTATCTTTTAGAAGTATATAGAAAAAATTTTGCTTAAATGGAATTTCTTTTCTTTTTTCTTTTTTATTATTATTTTTATTTGTTCTACTTAGTTGTACATGACAGCAGAATGCATTCCAATTCACCGTACCAAAAATGGAGTGCAACATTTCAATTTTCTGGTTGTACACGTTGTAGAGAGGTACCATTTGTGCAGTATTACATGTACCTAGGGTAATGATGTCCATCTGATTTCACCATCTTTCCTAGCCCCCATAAGCCTTCCCCACTCTCCCCTTTTGCCCTATTCAAAGTTTCTCCACTTTCCCATGCCTGCCCCTCCAATCATAGATCAGCATCCGCTAATCAGAGAAAACATTCGGCCTTTAGTTTTTGGGGATTGGTTTACTTTGCTTAGCATAATATTCTCAACTCCATCCATTTACCTGCAAATGCCATACTTTTATTCTTCTTTAATGCTGAGTAATATTCCACTGTGTATATTACCACAGTTTCTTTATTCATCTATTGATGGGCATCTAGGTTGGTTCCACTGTTTAGCTATTGTGAATTTAGCTATTAAAAACACAGCCACACTGGTGTGGCTGTGTCACTATAGTATGCTGATTTTAAGTCCTTTGGATATAGACTGAGGAGTGGGACAGCTAGGTCAAATGGTGGTTCCATTCCAAGTTTTCTGAGGAATTCCCACACTGCTTTCCAAAGTGGTTAAACCAATTTGCAGTCCCACCAGCAATGAATGAGTGTACCTTTTCCGCCACATCCTCTCCAACACTTATTATTGCTTGTATTCTTGATAACTGCCATTCTGACTGGGGTGAGATGAAATCAGAGTAGTTTTGATTTGCATTTCTCTAATTACTAAAGATGTTGAACACTTTTCATATATTTGTTGATTATTTGTATGTCTTCTGAGAAGTGTCTGTCCAGCTCCTTAGCCTATTTATTGATTGGGTTGGTTGGTTGTTTTTTTGGTGTTTTTTGAGATCTTTATATATCCTCTGACATGTGTGTGGTAAAAATTTGCTCCCATCCTGGAGGCTCTGTCTTCACTCAGTGATTGCTTCTTTTGCTGAGAAGAAGCTTTTTACTTTGAATCCATCCCATTTATTGATTCTTGATTTTATGTCTTGTGCTTTAGGAGTCTTGTTAAGGAAGTTGGGGCCTAATCTGACTTGATGAAGATTTGGGTCTCCTTTTTCTTCTATTAGATGCAAGGTCTCTGGTCGAATTTCTAGGTCCTTCAAGAGTACTTGGCTGGTTTTGAATAAGATAATCACATAATCATTTTATATACCTGTTTAAAATATGAAAATTAAGCTGGGCATAGTGGCACATACCTGTAATCCCGGTGATTTGTGAGGCCCAGGCAGGAGGATCCTAACTTTGATATCAGCCTCAGCAATTTAGTAAGACCCTATCTCAAAAAAAAAAAAGATATAGATATATATGCATGTGTATAATATGTATATATTGTGTATATATACAGAAAATATTAATTTACACATATATAGTTTATGTGTATATATGTAATTTATGTATATATGTATGTATTTATAATTCATATATACATATATTTAAAAATTTTTAAAAAGGCTTTGGATAAAAGATCTTTTTGGAACAGCTTTTGTGCTGTTGGTTTTATCTAACATCCTTCAAAGCACTTCTAAATTCAGGCTTGGTGGGGGGTCAGTCGTTAGGTGTAGAAGCTGTTGGTTCTCCTCAGGTCACTTTTACCTTTCATGTTTCTTCCACGTGCTGTCTTTGTTTTCTCTTGCAATTTGAGACTTCTGCTGTGATTATTATTTATTATCTCTTCTAAAATGCCATCAGTTAGGACAAGTTGTTTTTTAATGTTCCACTCAAAAAGACAAAAATGCCACTTGTTAGGTCAGTTGAGGTGGCTCCGGGAACAAGCACCAGGAACAACCAATCAGGTGCCAACAGACAGGAACAGCTAGGAAAGAGGAGACAGCAACTAGGCCAGCAGTCTCCATGGGAAGGATCAGTTAAGTGTGGCCTTGGCTCCTCCCCCTCGCAGGACCCCTGTTAGTCCTCTTCGTGTTTCTCCTAATAAGACCACGTCTGTTAACTTGCCTACAGAAGTTCCAGCAAGATCAGATACACAGATTCACCAACCAGCCGGTCAATCAACTACTTCTTCAAGACCTCCAGCCCCTGACGCCCAAGACGGAGTCCTAAAGCTCATGTCCAACTCCTCCAGCTCAACCAGACCCCAAGGGCCGCTCCCTCCATCCTTTGAGGAAGTACCTCTTTTTCGTAACCCCTCAGGGAATTTCCCCTACTGCTACACTTCCTCAGGTTTGACACCTGTGACCAGATCCTTCAAATCTCTTCCCCAACCTTTGCTCCTATGGGGTTCTTTTTCTGGTGCAATGCTGCTCTAACAAAAATCTAAGCCTCGTCATGCCGTTTGCTTTTTGTGTTCCTTCCACCTTGGTCCCTCAATTAACTCTGTACAGTGAGGCTGAATTAACCTGGCTTGTCACCACCTCCCTTTCCAGGGCAAGGTGGGCCGTCTTTCTACCAGTAGTGATTGGACTCTCCCTGGCCTCCTCCCTCGCTGCCTCTGGACTGGGGGCAGGAGGACTTGGTTATGCAGTAACTGCTTACTCAGAAGCTTGAACAACTTAGGGAAGTGGAAGAAGCATCTGCCGCCTCTCTGACTTCCCTACAAAGGCAAATAACATCCATTGCCCAAGTTTCATTACAGAACCGTGGAGCCCTGGATCTCCTGACAGCAGACCAAGGAGGAACCTGTCTATTCCTGAAAGAAGAATGCTGCTACTACATCCATGACACTGGATTGGTCAAAAAGAACGTCGACACCCTCCGTTGATTGGGTGAAAGGCTTAAATAGCAACAATCAAACGACCCCTGGCCAAGCTGGCTAAAGTCAACCCTCATTACGTGGCTGACTCCCATTCTCACTCCTCTGTTAGTAATAGGACTTCTATTAATGGTCGCTCCCTGCCTCCTCAGGTTCGCCTAAAAGTACATGAGTGAAATCACCAGAGTGACCTACAACCAGATGCTCCTACACCCCTACAGTCGCCTCCCCACCAAACTGACACCCTTCCAGAACCTCTAGCCAGCAGGAAGTAGCCAGATGGAATTTGGCACCCTATATCATCAAAAAGGCCAGGACGCTACGTATGTTGAGGGGGCTAAGGGAATCAAAGCACCAGGCAACAACCAATCAGGGGCCAACAGAAAGCAGTGATAATCACCTGTCAATCAGTGTGGTCTCCTGACTGATCCTGGAAGGACATGGAGCTCAGCAAGATCCTCTGACCAACCCCAGGAGGACAAGGGACCCTAAAAACCTCCCTTTCCTGTCCCAAGCCCTCCCTTCCTGCCCTAAGCCTGATAAATTTACAATCCATCTGAGCCTGGGTACGACTTCCCTGGACCCACTCTGTTGGACTAGAGGTTCTCACCCAGGAGCGAACCTCAATAAAGCCTTGTTCAGCAGCTTTTAATCTGCCTCCTCTTGGTCACTGGTGCCTGACCTTACACCACTAATTTATGTGAGATGCCTTTGATTCATTGTAAGACTCCAATTTAAATTATTTTATTTTATTTATGAAACGGCTTACCTTGTGTTTTTGTTTATTTGTTTGTTTTGGTACCAGGAATTGTACCCCGAGGTGCTTGATCACTAAGCTACATCTCAGGCCCTTTTTATTTTTTGAGACCATGTCTCACCAAGTCTTAGAACCTCTCTAAGTTGTTAAGGTTGGTCTTGAACTTGGGACCCTCCTGCCTCAGCCTCCCAAGCTGCTGGGATTACAGGTGTGCACCATCACGCCTGGCAAACAGCTTACCTTTTGTCCAGTTTTACACACGTAAAGAATTAGGACAGTACAGAGCAGCCATAGTCCGTCTACACGGGGTTACACATATCAGGTATTTTCAGGAACTATGACTAAACCATCCACTGGATGTATTTGCCTGTTTCCAGGCTTCTGTGTGGCACCTGCTGCATTGACCCCAGGGGCCTCTCGCCCCCGCCAGACCTAGTCTTGTTTCTCCACATCACCTCACCCCGTTCTTTTGAACCAGAACTCAGGCACCTCTCATTTCATTCATACCACTTTCAATGTATCTCTAAAAGACCAGAATCAGAAACCTCTTTGCAGGGCAGGGATGTGGCTCCATGGTGGGATGCTTGCTAGGAAGCCTCAAGTCCCAGGTTCCGTCCCCAGCACTGGAAAAAAAATCATGGTTCCATTATCATTCCTAAAAATTACTGGTGACACAGTGTTATCAAAGAGCCAATTTGTTCATACAAATGTATCAATTTTTCTGATTTTTAAAAAATGTTTTACACAATTTGTCTGCATCAGGTTGCAGAGAGGTCAGCACACCTGAGGTTTCTCCTGTGTCTTTTAAGTCTCTCTTGGTCTGTCCCTCTCTCTTCCCCCCTTGCTGCTGTTGTGTTGAGGAAGTCAGGTGGTTTGGCCCATAGTGTTTCCAGGGTTGAGCACCCGTGGGGTCCTTGATGTCCTTCCCCCTCCTGGACCTCCTGTGAGTTGGTTGTTAGATCTCAGGGCTCCATGAGGTTCAGGCTTGGTGCTTGGCCCAGCAGGCACGTGCTTAGGGAGTTTGGAAGGCGAGGCCTGGCGAACCCCAGTTTGGGGTGGAAAGGTGGGCTGAGGCGTCCCCCTGTGACAGCCACTGTGGTTTAACCATCCAGAATCAGCTGGCACTGCTCTTTCCCCCAAGTGCTCTGGTGGGTACTACTTTAAATACTCGATGAAACCAGCAAAAGTAAATGGAGCAGGGAGACAGGAAAAGACCCACCCAGGGGTAATGTGCACAGGGATGTGAAGGGCTGTGGTGGCTGTGCCCGAAGCCCACTCGGGCTGGCCCATCCAGGGAAGGTGACCTCCTGCCCTGTCCCCCACGGCTGCACCCACCTCCAGCAGGGCCCTGGTGGCAGGAAGTGCCTCATTGTTCCAACTTGCACATCAAGTGCCAGCAGCAGGAACCTCTTGTCACATGCTTGATGCTGTTTGTGTGGTGTCTTGAGAAATGTCTCTTCGCCTCTTTTTGCCCATTTGAAAAATTGGGTTATTTGTGTTTTTACCATTGAGTTGTAATGATGTTTTAGTATTGTGGACACAGGCCCCTGTAAGGGGTGTGACCCACCATGTTCCTCCTCTGTGGTCGGATCATCATTTTCTGTTTCTTTGAATACTTTCTCTGGCCCCCATCCTCCTCTGATCCTCTGCCTACCCAGGTAGGCCCTTGTCACAGTCCCCCAGTTTATTGTCTTTAAGACAATAGAGTTGTTAAAGCACAATTAATGCCAACATTTTTTTAAACACATGTAGATGTGCAATGTATGATAACAACACAAGAGACCAGGCCGGAAACTTGGAAATACGCTGTCACATGGTTCTTGCACGGGGTCATTTGAAGGTGGACTGGTTAAGGTAAAGATGTGCACTTAAACCCTATTGTAAAGGAGTCACTAGCGTGACACAGAGCTGTAGCTATTAAGCCAACAAAGAGAATGAGGTGCAATCTTAAAAATAACTCATTGTGCTGGTGCAGTGGCACACACCTGTAATCCTAGCTGCTCAGGAGGCTGTGCAGGAGGTTCGCAAGTTCAAGGCCAGCCTCAGCAACTTAGCAGGACCCTGTCTCAGAAAGGGCTGGGCAAACATACAATGCTCTTGATTTGTTGATTATACATATCCTTTGATTAAAGTCCAAACATAACAAGTCTTTAGAGACATTTTGTATCAAAAAAAAAAGAAACTGTGTTCTTTTGCAAGTTGCTAGATAATGTAGAAATTTGGTACAAAAAAAACAAAATGCAAAAAAATGTGTATGTATTTATAGTGAATAGGATTGCCTGAGGCGTGTAATACTTGTTTATTTAGTGTGTGCCCTTGCAGACTATTTTACATGTTTGTATGACAGGACATACATGTATGTGTGAGAGAGAGAGTGTGAGAGTGTGTGTGTGTGTGTGTGAGAGAGAGAGAGAGAGTGTGTTTGTGTGTGTGTCTTTTATATACAAAAGAGGCTGAAATGTCTCTCCAGGCAGAATATGGGATCAGACCCGAGCCTGTGCAGGGAGTTGTGTGACCATTAACTACGCTGATCTGATGGGCCACAAGTCCCAATGTGTATCACCCACACTTCAGTCAGCAACAGCAGCCAATCTCCCAACTGTAGCAGCATTAGTTAGTTTCCCTGCACACTCTGTGTTCCTGATATCACAGTGCTATAACTTGGTGGCCCTCGTTAAGTAAAGTCATATTTGCAAAACAGCATTATTTGTTTTTAAAGCTTTTAAAGAAATGATTTTCTTGGGGAAAAAATAAAAAGGCTTGGGACCCAGCTCAGTGGTGGATTGCTTGCATCGATGTGGGGGGCTATGGGTTCCATCCCCAGCACCACAGAACAAACTCAAAAAGCCCTCAATCCAAGAGAAGGCAGGAAAAGAGGAGAAGGGGAACAAGGAACCGGCGGCCCCAAAGAAACGAAGGCACAGCCTGGGAAGTTCCAGCTGTTCCTCGACTGCACTAAGTACAAGCCGTCTGAACACGTGTGCACATCCTGTCAGCGCACTGTGCTGTGTCCTGTTGTGCTTAACTTTCTCCTGGTGTTCCCCTTCAGGGTCTGTCCACTTCTGGCAGCAGCTGGTCCAGCCTCCAGCTTTGGTCATGGCGTCACCCACCTCTCCTCGCAGTTCTCAAGTATTTTAATGTTCTGCCGTGCAGTGCATGCTCCCTGAGGATGGTGCGTCTTGGAGAACTGTCCCATCATCATTCAGGTGGTGTCCCTCTTTGTAATTGGCGGTTTTCCTTGCACGTAGCTAATATAGTCTGAGCTTCATACAGTGACTACGGCTTTCCTTCACTAGAGTTGGCCCCACGTTTCCCTCTTCAACACTTCACTCTTAACCTATGGCGGTCCCCTCTTACCCACGGTTCAGCTCGCCAAGGTTTCAGGTACTTGTGGTCAACTGCAGTCCAAAACTGTTAAGTGGAAAATTCCAGAAATAAAAAAATTTCCTAAGTTTTAAATTATATTTCATTGTGTGCAATGCTATGAAGTCTCGTACTGTCCCCCTGAGGTATGAATCGTCCCTTTGTCCAGTGTGTCAACACTGTATACACTCCCTGCCTGTTACTCACTCTTGGTAGCCATCTTGGTTATCAGATGGACTGTTGCAGGATCAGTGCTGACATTCCCATACCCCTGATTTACTTAATAGTCCCAAAGCATAAGGGGAGCGATGGTGGGAAGTTTTTTGAATTATGTTAAAATTATTCTATTTTACTATTAGTTACCATTGTCAATCTCCTCCTGTGCCTAATTTATAACAGTCATAAGAATGTAGATATAGGGGAAAACCCAGTGTATATAGGGCTCAGTGCCATCTGAAGCTCAGGCATCCACTGGGAGTCTCGGGATGTATCCCTGGGTGGGGGCACTACTGTATATTTCAAGTGGACTTCTAGACACCAAAGGGTTGGAACCTGTTTTTTGAACCCCTCTGATAATCTCTGTTAATTGGTATGTTTAGGCCCCTGACGTATAATGTGATGATTGATCCAGTTGAATTAGTATCTGCTGTGCTTGGTACCGTTCTGTGTAATCGCCCTGGTTCTTTGTGCCTGTTTTTGTCTGTCACTTCTTTCCTGCCTTTTGATTCCATCTACTCATTTCTGAGCACACCTGTTATACTTCTTTTTAAAAACCTTTTTTAGTGGTTGCAATGTACACTGACAACTAACCCAGGTCCACTTTCAGATGACACTGCCGGGTCGAGACTGGTGTCGGTACCTCACAGCAACAAAGCTTTCCTGGTGCTCCTGCCACCCCGCGTCACACCGTCATCTCACATGTATGTATACAGTTCTCATCGAGGACATTTGTTAATTTTGTTCTGAACAAACTTATGCAAGAAAAATTAAGTTGTTTTTCTTTTTTATGTAAGTCTCTTTCCGGCCGGGATCATCATCCTTGTCTTTAAAGGACTTCTTTTAGCATTTCTTGCCAGGCAGCTT